TGAGGCTGAGTCGACCTAGGGGAGGCCCAGGACCATTTCAGATAATGTCGCTGGCCGTGAACAGGATAGAACTCGGGTCGCCGGGGGGGGGGGGGGGGGTCCATAGTGCAGCACGCGTTAACCATTGCACTACCGCTACCGCTTGACACGCACACACACACACGCGCACTCTCACATTATCACACTCGCAAGCACAAACACGGTCGTCACGCAGGTGCCCGCCCGCTAAAAGTTCAAAAGAACAACGGGACCTTGTGGGTGTGCAGCTGGCCGGTTGTGCATGCCCTACAAAGGTGCAACGTTTGACCAAGCCAAACAGCCCACCCGCATTCAGACTGTAAGTGCAATTGTTGCAAGTGCCCAGTAAAAAAACTACTTGCGAGCACAGCTGTTTCGCAGACTGCCGTGTGACCGAGAAGAGAGGCCGCGCGCTTGGCACGGCGTGGTGTCGGCCACCGAGGTTCCTATTGACAATCGGGAGAGATAAAAGTTCATTCAAATGCGCGGTGACGCGGCCCGGCGAGAATTAGTTTGTTTGCTCGTCGCGGAGGTTCGTGGTTTGGAATCCAGCGGCCACTCTACGGGTGTATTGGCCGCAAAAAATGCCAAACGCCGTTTGCTTTCACAGTGGACACTTAAAAATCCCGTCATGTATTTTGCAAGAATAGGCCATTGTGTGCCGGTGTTATGGTTAAAATGAGAAACATTACACCGCAATTTACTATAAACTAAAAACTAAACAATTTTTTTGTATTTTGCCAGATAAGGCCCACTGAGCTATGTAACAATTTTTTTTCCAGAAGCGACCTGCCCACAAATGATAGCTCAACGAAGTGGCTCATCACGTGGAAATGTATCGCAACATGTTGACTGAATGTGGAGGGGAAAAGCCGGAGGACCCGGACAAAAAAGCCACGTGACCACGCGGAAAAGAGAGATACAAACTCCAAATATACAGCAGGCATCAGGGTCGGGATCAAACCCATGACTTCCTGTCGACCAGGTGAGAAGGTTAACATCTCCTAGCCACCGTGGTGCCCCCTGTGGAGATTACACATCGCAATTATCCCCCTCCCCCCCCCCCTCGACTACGGAAAACTGGGCAGGCCTCTCCTGACAAATCGTTGTGAGACTCAGTGAGACTTTCCTGGATAAAAAAGCATAATACTTATTCAAGCATTAAAAGGGAAGTGACATCACGAATATCACAACATCCCTTCCGCTGATTTTACAGCCAAAGATTGTGTTACGTGGCCTCGAGTGACATCACTTGTGAAGACAAGATCTGTGTGAACGAAGACGCACTGATGTATAAGGTGACGTACAATGATCGGATAACCTGAAAGTACATCAAACATTTTCCTTGAAAATCTGAAAATCATAAATGTTAAATTCCAAAAAACATCCCTCCTATACACATACATATATAGGTACATATAAACAGGTATATTATCTGCCTGTATCTCTTGTCTATATATCGCATCTGTCACCTCCCTAGGAGTTTATAAATTGAATGTAGGTGGGGGGAATGAATGCCCCCAATGGACCAGCGCCAGTGCTGCATAGGACTGGCATGGATTTTTTCAAACGTGGCATTGATTTTTGTTCGTTTGTTTACACCACAGTTGCTGAGCACAGTGGGCTCAAAGGCCCCAAAAAACGGCGAGCGACCAACAGCACCACCAAAGCTCGTCACAGCAACGACTCAACGCGTTTCTACGAGCTCGGGAAAAGGAGACGGGGACGGCGGGGAGGCGATACCCTCTCCGATGCTTGGAATACGAGTGGCAACCACCCGCTGCTGAAAATGAAATCGAGCCTTCCTCTTCTTTACAATTAACGGGCACTTTAGCAACCCTGTAAGAAATAAATTGACAAGCCACTGACCCCACGCAAACTGACTCGGTGTTGGTACGCACTAAGCCCACTTGGCCACTTATCAGAGTTAAACCGGCTTAGACCGCCCTTGTGGTCTGAAAGGGATGCAGTCTGTTTGCTCCGAGCAAGGGCCAGCAAAGTGGAATTGCAAATCCACAGCTGAGTGGTTAATTTGAATGTCTGACAGTTTTCCCACGAGTTTGCATTACTCGAGCGAGAGAGAAGGGAGAGCCATCTGACGAAGAGGGACGCCCCCCCCCGCCGCCGTCCAACCATTGCAAAATCAGTGCTGCCACATCATTATGGCAAACGCAGACAAAATATAGAGCCTCGTCCTGATTGCGAACGTTATTCCAGTTGCTTGCACCGCTAACAAGTGCTACCGCGCGCACGCACGCCCGCAAGCAGACAAGAGGCGGATGTGATGCTGTCAAATTTCGGCTGGCCATCGAACAGAGACGGTCACCGCACTGCGCACTTTCAGACGCTTTTCTGCGGCCGTCGGGAACACTCTTGCGTTCTGATGTTAGGATACCGCCGGAGCTACGCACTTTTAATTCTGGATTGAAAACTCATTTTTTTAGAACGGCTTTTTGCGTCTGGTTTGATGTCCCTTCCGCCGCACCTTCGATTAGCACGGTTGGCTACGTACGGCGCAAACGAATTTCAACACATACACACACGCACGCAGATTGACTCCGTGACCAAGTCATGTCTGTTTGGCTTCGCGCTCAACAAGCGGTGCGCCGTCATGTCAGCTGGTTGGAGGCGTGGTGGTTGTGAAACTGTGAAACCGGACAGAGCAGGCCACGCCAACTCTCGCAGGCACCTGGCAAAACTCTAGCTTCAATCGACAAAACGGACCGTGCGTGTGCGTGATGAGCACGGTTGGCTACGTTGCCGTGCGAAAGACGTTCAACATACATAAGAAGTGTTCATGACTCGTGTACATTATAGGACATTTCGGGCAAATAAATGAGAATGTAAAAAAAGACAAGAAGAATCAAAATAATAAGGATGATTCATCGAATCAACCGGGGGTAGGTGATTAGTAATCCTTATAAATTATGTCTAATGATTAATCATTCAGAGACCTTTTCCAATCCATTGTCGGATAAAGGACTCACCACGCCGTGTCAGTCACGTGGGCTGTTTGACCATACTTCACCACGCTGGTCAGTGCCGGTTGGCCCAGAATCAGTTCCGAAAGCGCCTGCCATTGATTTCAGCCAGAGCTTCGAATTTAACTCACCGGCGCAGACCACAGGTGCAAGCACTCCGCCCCACGTGTACCTTATTTCGACGCGAATCTTATTCAAGGCTGTCCTAAAGGCGTTTGACCATACTTCACCATGCTGGTATATGGGCAGTTGGTGAAGGTGACAATGGTACCCTGTGAAACCATTAAAAAAAACTATTTTGTATTTAATCAAGTAAGGCCCACTGAGCTACATTGCTCATTTTCAGAAGCGACCTCACCACAAATGATAGCCCAACGAAGCGGCTTATCACGTGGAAATTTTTAGCAAGCCAAATACTCTAAACGCACGTTCCTCAATGTGGAGGGAGAAACCAGAGGCTACGGAAAAAATCCCCACGACCACGGGGAGAACGTGCAAACTCCAAATATACAGACATCAGGGCGGGGAACGAACCCACGACCTCCTGCCAACCGGGCGAGGGAGTTAACATCCCGCCACCGTGGCTAGAAATCAAAGTCACATCGGCAGGTTCACAGAGCAGCATGCTAACCCCTGCGCCACCTCTCCCACCCATCGCGGCGATTCGTTACATGGCTACAAGTTAGAAGAAGTACATGAAAACACTGCCTTGCGTAGGCGTCGAGCATTCTCATCATCGCCCCAGGGTTGGAACACTTCAAGGCTGACTCCTGTGTCGACAAAACCTCGGGTATGGTTTAGAGGTCAGAGGCAAAATGACCCCGTCGGTGTCCCGGGTTTCCCTGACTTGAAATTCATCGCTGTTCTCCCCCCCCCGCCCCCAGGCATCGGCGCGGCAAGACACGGCAACACGACACGCATCACTCGTGCCTGTGAAGGGCACAATCTATCCTGATGTTCGGCCTGCCTGCCTTCCTTAAAGAGACTCCACAAACGTTCTACGCAACATTAGACCGGCGCTTGCCACCCTCATTGCTTTTGCCGCAAGAAGGAAGGGCAGGTTCCCGGGCTGCCCATGCTTAGCACTTGCAAAAGTGGAACACGGCAGGGCCAGCGGTGGAAGATAACAAAGGTAAAGGTGCAGCCGTGCAACCGCTTGCTCGCTGCACTGCTGGCGGAAGGGCCTCCACTACAGGAGGCTCTGCAAAGAACATCTATGTGGTATCTTGGCCTGCTCTTGCTACGCTGGCTAGAGATATTGGAAGAGGTGGTGGTAGCTACACTTTACCTCACCGCATGCGATAACCGAATCGACTAATTGTGGTGCACCGTTTTGCCTAATGCACTGCATGATGACGATGATGATGAGGATGACTGGAGAAGGAGTGAATAGCAACATGCCCTGGCGTGGACCCAGCCTAATCGATCCATTCGCATGCAACTGAGTAGAGCAAACCAGTCGCTCGAGCGTGGGCCCAGCCAAAGCGTTCCGATCGCATGCAACCGAACTGCGCAACTCACTGCTCAGGCGTGGACCCGGCCTGAGCAAAATCTGAACACAACTGGGTGGGTGGGGGTGTTGTAGGTGGGGGCAGGGGAGTGGCGGAGGGGCGTGTGGACACTCTCAGGGCACGGACGATGGCCAGGGTTCTCTGCCCGTGGTGAGCACGGGTTCAGGGTGACGGACACGCGCACAAGCGGGGCGGGGGAGGCGCGGCAGAGGTTGCAAACGGGTTTTGATTCCTTACCCGTACCCGTACCCGGCCGGGTACAGGTAGCCGTATCCTACCCGTACCTGTATCCTACCAGAAATAAGTGACAAACAGTTACTCACCAGTGACTCACAGCCTACCCGTAGCCGTACCCGGCCGCACCAGGGTCGCAAACGGCTACCCGTACACCCGTACCCGGCCGGGTACGGGTAGCCGGGTATCGGGTAGGGTACGGGTATTGGGTACCCGGTTGTGACCTCTGAGGCGCGGCCCTCGCGCCAAAGCTCACCATGACGGAGACGTGCAGCATGTGCAGCTGCTCATCGAGCTGCTGTGAGTTGGGCCGCAGGGTGGGCACCGCGACGGGGGAGCGCAGCGCCACGCTGTCGCGCAGCACGCGGAAGTGCAGCGTGCCGTTCTCCAGCCACCGCTGGCGCCAGTGGACGGCGGGAAGCTCCTCGGCAGGGCCCATGATCTCTGGAGACGGGGAGAGGTGTGAGAGGGAGAGGGAGGGAAGAGGGAGTGGTTGGGAGCAGGAAAGAGAGGGGGAGTTGAACAGTGTTCGGTTTTAATATGTAGTAGGTTTGCGAGACCAATATTATCCATAATAACGGTTTTTTTTAGGTTAGTTCGCGGAAATTTTAATGTGTCGTGAACCCGTCACCATCCGACACAGCCAATTTGTAAGGTTTGTCCCGTAAACAAAACGTGCCAATTACCTTTGCTCTATATAAGATCGAAATACTTTTTCACAATTCTGGCAAATCGCCTGATGAAGCTGGTTGTAATCACCAGCGAAACGTCGTCGAACTCAAATTGTAAATGTTGTGGCTTTACTCTCCAACTCACCGGTGTTATTGAACAGTATTGTGGGTAAAGCGAATGGTGGCTCGGCGGTGGAGCGAGCGGCTCGCAACGGGAAGGTCGACTCAACCCAGCATCTCTCCGGGGTAGATAAAATAGCTACGATTTTGTGGGGAAGTTAACGGTGGTTGTCCTACGGATGATCTTGCCCCCGCCATAGGAAGGTAGAATTTCCACCACTGGCTCAAGGCTGTAGGCAAGAGGTTGGCACCGCCTCAATGCTCATTTGAGCAAAGAATCACTGCGACTTTTAAAAGTGCTCTGAGATACGTGCTTGGTCATATTCAGGGGTCCAATCGAAACAAGGGTGTTGGCCGAAAGATTCAAACGGATGTTCGTCTGACCACACACGAGGCAGTGAAGGTGCAGGCAGCTGCCTGTCGGGTGGAACAAGAGACTTTCAAACCAACTTTGGACTCCATTGCAAACAAAACATCTCGAGGGATTTCCAAGGTTCAATCATTTTTGACGCATCATGAACCAAACAAAAACAGTACATTATGATACTCTTAGGTTTTTTCGGTAAAGTCACGTAGGTAAAAATAAATAATCAAAATAATAGAAATGATAAAAGAAATAAAATAATAAATCACGACGTTTCGGAGGCAACACAAGTCTCCGTCATCAGGTGGGACCGTCATAGCTAAATTTACTGTATCAAGTGAGGCAAAATTCCAAGAGACAAGCTCTTAAATATTATTTATTTTCACCTACGTGACTTTACAGAAAAAACCTAAGAGTAAGAATCCTTGCAGTCACGAAAGCTTCAAATCTAGAAGTACATTATGATGTTTCTCCAGATGAATGTCGTCGTCGTGATTGTTCACCGCAGTCATCGCACACAAAACAGGAATCACGAAAACCAAGCGCAGCCACGTAGCCTCATCCCCCCTCGCTTCACCTCGGCGGAAGTGCTCACCGCAATGCGTTGCTGATGATCTACTTCACGAAGGCTATGTAAACTGTGGGGCAATGCAATTGGCAATAAAATGAGAAAATTTTTTTCCCCCTTTTTTCCTGTGAAATGCCCTGCGTGATGTCATTCTGAAACGTTCTCATCGTTTTGCCATTCTGCGAGATTCGAAAAGGAACACATTTGGTCCACGCGGACATGAAATGTCCATTTGACTTGGCCGAGGGGCACGGTGGACGATTGATTTTCGAGCGGCTCCCTCCTTTTTACAAACGGCTGCCGCTCTCGGCGCAGCGGAGGAAGCGAAACATCGCCAGCACAAAAAATTAACCCCGGAGCCAAAGAAAATTCAAGCGCTGAACACGTCAAAATAAACACGGACGCACACGCCGGGACTATGACAGGTTGATAAGTTCACCAAAGCGCGTGTTCAGTTATTCCTTGCTAAGTGCTCTTCCCTTTTCTTTTACCATTGCCCCCCTCCCGACCCCTCCCCCCGTCCTCCCACCACTCCCTCTACTCCCTTTCTTAAGTTATTCCCTTACCTTCTCCTTCCCACATGGAAGTACACACACCCCGCTCGCAGTCCCCACTCAGTAGGGGCAGCGAGCCCAATCTCCCCCCCCCCCCACCCTCTCCTCCTCTGAACGGTGGTTGTTCTAAGGATATCCTTGCCCCCGCCATAAGAGTGTGGAATTTCCACCACTGCCTCAGGGCTGCAAACGGGAAATGAGCATCAATGCCTCAATGATAATTTGAGCAGCAAATAAACTTTCACTTGTGTTTATGAAAACATAAAATAAAACCACAGACATGAAATGTGGCCAGATGGCTGAGGGGTCAGAGTAATAATCTGGTACAACTGAGAGCCTGATTTCGACTCAGAGTTTTTATCCAGAGCAGATTAAAGAGTTGTATAGCGAGCAGATGGACTCAGTCTTGTCACCAATAACTGCACAAAAAACACGTTGATGTTAAACTTAGTATTTTTTACTTAACGTGACACAATTCCCACGGTGAGAATTCATACACCAGGTTTGACCGTTGCGTAAGATGTGCAGGAAAGGACACCTTTAGTGTGGAAGCCGTGTTCACTTGAGGGGATTTTCAAGAAGTGGTTCTGTGACATTTGCTTCTGTGGTCTGTTCTCCACTAGACGGGCTCACTGCCGTCTGGAGCGCTCTTCCTTCCGATATTAGGAAACCGCTGAAGCTACGCACTTTTAAATGATCAAGATTGAAAACCCACTTCTTTAGAACCGCTGTTTTGTGTTTAGTTTGTTGTTCTTTCAAGGGCACCTCCAAATAACACGGTTGGCTCCGTGCAGTGTAAAAGCAGTTCAACATACATACATACAAATAGACCAATAGAATCACACAGACACCCATAGACTCGTCACACAGAAACCCATGGACTCACACAGTGCATCGCACACTTTCAGATGTGCTTCTGTGGCCGTCTGGAACACTCTTCCTTTCCGATATTAGGAAGCCACTAGAACTATGCATTTACAATCTGGATTGAAAACTAATTTATTTAGAACTGATCTTTGTGTTCAATTTGTTGTCCTTCCCCGACGCCTCCAATTAGCACGGTTGGCTACGTACGGTGCAAAGGAAGTTCAACATACATACAAACATACCGCTCTGTGGGAATTCTGAACGATATCTTCATGTCAATGACATCTCAATGACATGGCAGGGCGCCGACAACATCACTGGATAAAATTAGGGCATATTTTTTTTTTCCACCAAAAAATAAAACCACGGCCGTAATGCAATTATTTCTGTCCACGTCACGCCCGTTGAGCTTCGTCTTCCTAATCTTATCTGGTGCCTGATCCGCGCACATACGGCGAAAAAAATAAAAGACGTAACGTATTGCTCGTGGAACAACGCGGCCACGTAAAAGAGCAGGGCATGAAATGAGTGTGTTCGCGGCACAAGCACCGAGAGGCACTGCCGTGCGAACGAGCCCGCTAAACACCCGCTCCATTAAGAGACTTGGAGAAGCTTTCACCGTCACGCACGCACGCTGCCTCCTCTCTTCCTCTGCGTATGATTGTCTTGAGCCACGTTCACTTTGCGCCCATACCCCCCATCTCCGCCTCTCTACGCGCCCGCGCCCAAACCCCTCCCCACCCACCCGTCGATGCAATTTAGTACCACATTTATTTCCTCTGCCACGAGGAAGCCCAAACACACCTGTTGCTGTTACCATTTTTAGGTTCTCCCCGCAGGGAGATATTAATACCGTTTCTGCCGTTCATGAGAATCCATCATCGTCATTGTCTTTGCCGAAGGGTGACCTTGAATGCTGGTGCCAGGCGTTCTTCTGCCAGTCGTCTCTACCCTGCCGCCGTTGACAACGCGCAGGGTGGGTTTCCGTGGCCTCCGCCACTCCGTCATCGTTGTCGTGGACAAGGCAAAGGTGCAGCCACCCTCCGCAATGTCTCGCTCACACTACCGCTGGTGGAAAGGCCTCTGCTAGGGAGAAGCTCGAGAGAGACTCTCTCTCTCTCTATTTTGGTCTATTCTTCCACATTTCTTGGAAGAGGTGGGAGTAACCCCCACACTTTACCCCGCCACACGTGACCTGCCAATCGACGATTGCACACAATTCACACCGCTGGGTGGATACAAAGAGGGGGAGGAATTTAAGGAACTTTTCCCATTGTTTCAACTGCTTCCCCGGGGGGTTAGAATCGAACCGGCGACCTCCTGATTGCAAGCCCAGCGTTGCGAAACCAGGCTACACCACAGCAGCACACGGAAACTCAGAATAAGCGAAATGAATCACCGATGACGATGTTAAAAGAGTAATAAGTTGCTTACGTTGCAGTGCATGCATCTGACGCGCGATCTTGCTCAATCAACAATATTCGTTTAACACGTGTGCTATTTTGTGTTTTCCGTCTAAAGAGGCGCGTGATCTCAAAGGGCTCACACCTTATTATAACGGTGCCATTTATTTATTTAATCCAAGAAAGAGGGAAAAAACCTCACCTCCTTCCTGGGGGAAAGGATCCCGCAATGGGCGTTGCTCGGCGAATTTTTCTATTAAACGGAAAAAAAAGGTATTTTACGCGGACGAAGAAAATCCAGGTCCTACAAAAAAACTCCTCCGAGCTCTTTCCGCAACAAGGCGAGACGCTGTCGCGCCGAACCACCACGTGTGCGGCACGACCTAACGACATCGCAGAGCTGTGCCGGGCGAGCGCAAAGAACACCCCGTGCAGCACAAAGCAACCGGATTCCCTGGAGGACACCCACGATGCACAGCCGAGGATAACCCTCACAAAGTCGGCACAGCTGGGTCCAGGAAACCATCTGCATGCATGCATGTATGCACGCTGAACTTTCTTCCGCACCGTACGTAGCCAACTGTGCGTGCTAACCCCTCAAACCCACCCGGCTGGTCACCCCCGTGCAGCCCAATGGGTTTGAGAGGTTTACATATTCTGCATAATCCACCAACTCTTGGCTCTAGGGTGCTGGATCACATGCTCGCGCAATCACACCCAGATTAATAAGCAAAGGCTCCGACGCGTACCCACCCGACTTGTGTGAAGTGTGGGCAACCTCTGATGACTTTTACTTTTAAAGTGAATCGGTTTCGGAAACACATTTTAGATATTTTTTTTTCTAGGTTTTACTTGAACTCAGTATATCTACGAATGGGCAAATAGTTCACATGCCAA